ACAGACAAGCACATGAACCTGTTGGATTTTGTGAGGTTCAGGATGCTTTCTAGTGCAGGAGCCTAGGGGGTTAGGTTAATGAAGTGTGAACAGGTGGATGGTGATGGCACTGCCAGTGAGTTTGCTGACAAAAAAATCTACAAAAGTCTACTAGATTCTTGCTTATACTATACGGCATTGGGAAAAGTGTCAAACGTTTTTGGGTGAGCAAACTAGAATCATGAAAATCGACCAAATACATCACGAGAAATGAAATAAAAAACAGCTCTTGAACAGTTCCATTGTTTTACACTATCAGCAGGTCCCAGTCAGTGTGCCATGATTGACAGGTTAATGGTCACACTGGCCTTGAGGAAGTGGGTGCCAGGCTGATTGTTTATTTCATAATTACTTACTGCTGATCCAGTCAGGATGAAACTGGTGAGTAGCATTCATAGGTTTTGGCTAATGAAGTTTCACGTAATGGTAGCCATCTTATTGGACAGCTACAGTTAATTGTATAGCTACAAGTAGACATGAACGTATCAAAGTTGGCACATTGGTATTTGACTGAACAGACTTATTCCAGCTTTATTTTACTGTTTCACCTTTTATTCATGTCGGAAAAATAAAAAGTAAATAAATAGGGGAAAATGTTTAAAAATAGCCATTAAAATGAAGACCAAAAAATAACAACCAATGCTGATCAAGTACCAATATAATACCAATGTGTCAACTCTGACACGTTCAGTCAGATTACCAAAAGTTTACATAGGATTAGTTTTATTGGCCCCGTGTCTGAAAAGTTCGTTATGAAAAATGAGGAATTCAAAATTATTTGGATTTCTGGCAACTTGTGACAAAACTGAAAATCCCCCGGCCCTGAAATACACAGACAGGCTGACCAACGAACATGTACCTATGGAGATCCTTGAAGCTTTCCTCGATCTCCCTGGTTTCCCGCTCAGCTCGGCTGGCTCTGGCGTAGGCTCGCCAGGCGTTCCAAGCCCTGAGGAGAGTCCGCCAGTCGGACAACGCCCGAGCCTTGCCCAGGGCTAGTTGCTTGGTCAAGACAAGCTCGTACCAGGCGTGGAAATGCTGCTGCAAGCTCTGAAACGAAGATGCGGGTACAAAGATTTAGAACTAGATGCGGTGTGGGGAATTACGGCTCCTTCAAATCCACATGTAGGTGCTGGGCTTGCTTTGAATGGGACAGATCTTCAGATACTCAACTGCTCTCATTGTGAATGCACTCTGACGGCTTGAGGACAAACATGTGTACCTTCAGGTACACGCACCTTCATGCATCCTGAGGACATACATGTACCTTGAGCCCTTTGGCTACACTGCCAGAACATTTCCAAGCTTGGGGACACATATACGTTCTGGTCTTGGGTGCCTTCCGTGCTGTTTTGTCCTCATGAAATAAGGACATAGGTCTTGCGGTGACTTCATCATCTGTATATGCCAAAGCTTTGAGGATATACTCTTAGGTCCTAAGCTACCTTTGTGGCTTGTTCACTTTTCAGCTTTGAGGACATAGTTCCTGGGCTAACTTCATAGTTTGTACTTTCTAAAGCTATGAGGCCAAGTCAGCAGGTTCTGCAACACATTGATTGCTGGTTCACTCTCAAGCTATGAGGACATCATTCATATATTTTCAAGCTCTAAGGACACACCTGAAGTCCTTGGCCACCATTACAGCTTGCTCATTCTCAAGGTTTGAAGACATGTGTTCAGGTCAAAGGTCCCCTCTGTAGTTTGTTCATTCTCAAGCTATGAGGACATCATCCATTCATTTTCAAGCTATGAGGACATCATCCATTCATTCTCAAGCCTTGGGGACATGCAAGTACATGTACCTTCCAGTCCTTGGCTACATTCATCATCATTCTAAACCTTTGAGGTTGTATCTTAAGGTCTTGGGCTACCTTCATCATCTATATTCTAGACCTCTGAGGTCGTACCTTAAGGTCCTGGGCTAACTTTATCATCTGTAAATTCTAAATCTTTAAGGACATACCTTCAAGTCTTGGGCTGTCTTCATTACCTATGCATTCTCAAGCTTTGAGGACATACCTTCAAAGTCTGGGCTACCTTATAAACTGCTTGTTCAATCTCAATCAATGAGAACATATTCGTTACATTAGGTCCTTCATCATCTGTACATGCTAAAGCTCTGAGGACATACCCTCCGGTCCTGGGCTACCTTCATCGTCTGCACATTCTAAATCTTTGAGGACATACCTTCAGGTCCTGGGCTGCCTTCATCGCCTGTACTAAATCTTTGAGGACATACCTTCAGGTCCTGGGCTGCCTTCATTGCCTGTACTAAATCTTTGAGGACATACCTTCAGGTCCTGGGCTGCCTTCATTGCCTGTACTAAATCTTTGAGGACATACCTTAAGGTCCTGGGCTGCCTTCATCGTCTGTACTAAATCTTTGAGGACATACCTTAAGGTCCTGGGCTGCCTTCATTGTCTGTACTAAATCTTTGAGGACATACCTTAAGGTCCTGGGCTGCCTTCATTGTCTGTACTAAATCTTTGAGGACATACCTTCAGGTCCTGGGCTGCCTTCATTGCCCTTGCATTCTCAAGCTTCTGTTCCATTTTTCTCTTCTCCTCCTCAATCAGGGACTCTGCGTTAAGTCGCGTTTGCAGTTCCTCCTGCCGTCTCCTTGCCTCCTCTTGCCTCAGCTCCTTCATTTTACTGGCTTCTTCGTCTTTCTTCCTGTATCAACAAAACAGAGATACCCCTTTCTTAAACAAGAGAGGGCAAAAAAGAACAGCATGTACAGGCACATATGTACCTCTGTGGTTACAACTCATCCGTCTTACTGTCAGCAGGGTTCTACCTGAGGTCTGCCTTCCTGCCTGCCACAGAGACACATGTGTATCTCTGGAGCTGTGTTTCAGATCCAGTTCACAACTTGTACATGGCATCTGTCTTTCTACCAGCATTATGAATACATGTATCCCGTGGTATTTTTTTTTACCTCAGCTGTGCCTCACTGCCTGCTAAACGGACATACACCTGAGGGGGCTATACAGTACATTGAAATTGAAAGTTTTGAAAACCTCAAGAGGGGAAAAATATTTCCACTTTTTTTCCTATCTGGGAATACAAATATTCATTTCAGAAATTTTGTACAATTTTCCCCTCACTGGGAAAAATTTCCATACTTTCTTCCCCTCTGTGAAAAAAAGGAATTCACAATTTATTTTGCAAGGGGGGAAAAATGTTCACATCTTTTTTTTCCCACAGGTGGGAAAAATTTCACAGCTTTTTTCCGAGTGGGAAGAAATTTCATACAATTTTCACAAATGCAAATGGGAATTGTTTTTGCAATATTTCCCGGCCACTTTCACAGGGTTAGGCTTCAACTGCATCGTGGCGTGTATCGCCCGCACCTCCCTACCGCAGACTCATCGTTTTTAAACCCTTATTGAAAATTTGAAACTTTTTGAGAGGGAAATGTGCCGTGGTAGCTGCACCTCACCTCTGCCTGGCGTCCTCCTCCAGCCTTCGCTGGTCCTGCATCTCCTTCCTCAGCCGGGCCATCTCCTGCTGCAACAGCGCCTCCTCCCGCTGCCTCTGCAGCGCCTTGCTGCGCTCCTCCTTCATCACCATCTGGCGGGCCTGGGACTGCGCCGCCTTGTGCTGCTGCTGCTGCCGCAGCTGCGCCTCTCTCACCTGCTGCCTCTTCTCTCTGTTCTCCTTCACCTGCAGGCGACAACGGGATCCTTGCATCAGCAGATGACGGGGTGTGTGGTCTCGCAAGAAGAGAAAGTGAAGGGTGCTGGCACTGCTTGAGTCACATGTTTTTAATCACCCCTTCCACGAGCTGCCCATCTGCCCTGAGTTCAAGTGCACCCTCATCAGCAAATTTGTAAGAGACAATCTTGTGGGAAGTTTTTCAACTGGGCTCGTGGACATGTACAGCACGCACACAAAGATCTTACATTCAAACTAAGTGCGCATAAAGCTGTGCGTGCAAGCGGTGAGTTCCCACGTCTTTCATTCGTTCCCGCTCGGAGCAGATAGACTAATCCCAAAAAATGTCATGTAACTGCGGTGGCATCTCACTCACTCACGCTATCATCTACATGTCGTTTGAGCCACGGCACCTCCTTGGTCAAAGAGGCACGCAACGCATGCGTTCCACCTGTCCACGAGCACTATGAGGCTGCAGTAATGGTTTCTACATGTAATTAGGATTCCGAATCGCACTCTTGCACAGAAAGTGGAATTCAACTGAACATAGCCGTGTCCAAACGACTCAGCTAACAGCTGGTTATGATACACAAGTCTATGGGCCACACCTGAAGGCACTATTGTGGCTTCCAAAGACCCACATGTTTTGTCCAATTGAATCCAAGGACATGAACGCGTACGTGTAAGTTATGTTCCTATGAAGCAACAAATATTATTCAAAATCTCAAGAAATGTACCTACATGTAAGAACAAAACCTGACAAAGTTTCAGCTTAGTGAAGACTGTATATTTCAGGATTTTGATTTCAGAATAAAAAGTTGACGACTCATGTTTTTGAACTACGCCTGAATTCAGTGTCTGGGAAAGTCTCTATTCAGTCGAAAGCAGGTACGCGATGTCATGCAAGGAACCAATGAATTAGAGCAACCGCGGGCATGTGTGAGTGTCATATGGAAGCTTGTGAACGTCAATGGCCATTACCCAAAACTGCATCTTTTGTTGCGTCGTTGGAGATGGCCTTCTTGCAATTTTTTCTTCAAAATGGCAGCTTGCGCCAGAAAGAACGATTTCACAAGTCTAAACTAAACTGTCTTTGAACCAGGCACGCTTTTCAACAATAATTTGTCAGTTACTTTTTGGATAACTGGAAACGATAAAATTGTTCCTTTCACAGGTTAAAGTTCGTCAAGTCCTAGACCCTATATGACGATGAGCTCTTTACCTTCTGCTGTCTTGCAGCCATTGTGGTCCTAGGGTCATGCTTCTTCTTGCTCTCTGCTCCTATGCCAAGATCTCTCTTGAAGCTGCTCTCCACGACATCTTTCTTCATCAGTTCACCAAGGATGCTCTGGACGTACTGGTCATCGTCCCGGGTCTCTATCTGGTGAAAGAGTTCTGCAGAAAAGGGAGACACATTCAACCTGAATAAATTTCCGGGATAATGACCTTCAGGAGTTTGTACTCGGACATGATGAGATTTGGCAGGAAGACTCATGCGACAACGGTTTTGAGTACAACTTGACTTTACTCTGGCGAGCACATGACTGTAGGCGTGAACGGATTTTCTCCACTAAAATGTGCAGGGCTGAAATGTATTGCTTAAAAAGAAATGGCTCCATCACAGTTGCAACTACGTTGCAGTGAGAAAACAAACCACCAGTTTAGGTCTGTAATAGTTTTATCCAAAAAAGACCCTTCGGTGGACTTATTTTATACCTTACAGTCGGCTTGTTTTTCGACGTAAGCCTGAGTCCAAATGACTTGGATGGTGATACCAGTCATATCTATGGAGGCCAGCAACTACCTGTACTGGCCTGGTGCAGCTTTGGCTACTTTAAATTCAGACCAGCCCTTCATGCTCAAAACAACACAGGTCCACGATACCTTCTGACGACATCTTGTTGTACGGGTCCGCGGCTACGGGATCGTTCTCTGCCAGGAGGTTGTTCCACTGGTCCTTCAGGTCCGACTTGGCGGCCTGCTTGGAGGCCGTGTAGTCGCTCACGTCCTCGTCGTCTACAAAATACTTCAGATCGTCATCCTCACCGTCCAGGCCGCATTTCTGTGCCATCCACTGACTGAGTAGGTCTTGCGCTTAAACAAGACAAGAATAAAAGAGAGTGACCAGAGAGAACTGGCCAGGAGGCAATCTTGTAAGGGACAATCTCATCAGGAGAATGCCCAACAAGTACAGTTGTAATGCATATATACTGATATATGGGTAATTCAAGAAATTACGGGTCCAAAAGTGTGACATTTTGTGTGCCTGTTACATCTGACCTTTGTCATTTGACGTGGAAATATCACCAGAATTGATTTCAAACAATTACTGTGCGTTTTGACAGGTAGTTTGCATTAATTCATCACTCTTGGAAATTAGAAAATGTATTCTTACAAAATCACATGTCAGATGTGACAGGGACACAAAAAAGGACCCCTATATTCTGGAAGTACCCATGAATAAAAAGTTCAAATGAAAAAACACTCTTGATCCATCTTCATTTTTCGCTAATGTTTCAGTTGAGCCCAAATCTAAGATAAAAAAGAACCTTGCTACCTCTACATTTGATTTATTTACACAGAAACAATGTCTGTCAAATAACTGGGTTCACATAACATTAGAAGCAGACGTCAATCCCATTTCATGAATTTAGACATTCCTAGGTGACTGGCTGCTGTGTCTGATGTTGTCAGCAGTGCTGCCTGGCAAAGTTCGTTGCTCAATGTGCCCTAACAGTGTTAACCCCTTCGCGCCGGGAGGTGGCTAGACACGCCGTAAAAATTGAGATCCTCAGCCCACTTTTCAGCCATCATTCTCGGCCCATGCTCGAGCGAACACGGTGAAAGAAGGCAGACCCTGGCTCTTATACATATGGTAATTGGTCTTTGTGTGTAGCCCAGAAATGAAAAGACCGAATTTGCATCATAATCACCAGCTTCAAAATAGCCCCCACTTTGAAAAGAGGCAACGGGAATGTAGAAGGGTGAGTAGAGCCGCATGCCACCGAACAATCAGCCTTTTCACCGTGTAATTCAAAGTACGCAGGGCCACAAACTGAGAATTTGCAGTTTGGCAGGTGGCCTTCGCGGCCAAGCGAGGCTGGAATTCTAGGAGTCAGCTTTCGGAAAGAAATTCCCGTCGTCAAGGGGTTAAGCACTTGGAAAGCCTCTGAAAGGGAGAAACATTCACACAGTGCCAGTGGTGGTGGTTAGGCAGTTTGTGATCTCAAGTGTCTACGGTCATTCTACAAATTTGCAGTACAATTTTTTAATCTCCTTGTCACGTCAGACGTATAATTTTGTAAAAAATCTCCAGTTCCCAAGAGTGATTGATCAATACAAATTACCGGGTACCTGCCAGACAAATAAAAACAGTAGTAGTGTAAGGTCACTGGTATTTATGTGTCAACTGACACAGGTCAGGTGTAACAGACCCAAAGATGTCAAATGTTTGGACCCCAAATTTATAGAATGACCCACAGATGCTCGGGATCATGTTACCATGGTTACTGGCACTGTTGGAGTGTCTTGAACTTGGAGAAGCTTTGTAAGGACTTAAACATGTACACATTATGTCAGTATTGGACCATAATGACCTCTCACACTATCGTTTACATGCATCTACTCAGTAGGTCTTTTGAGCATTAAAACCCTCCTATATAGAGTTGCATTCTTGACACAGTAGTCCTTTCAGTCAAAATCAGTCAAATGATATGATATGACATGTCTATGTACTGTACAGGGAGAAGTGGAAGGAATTTTTGACTGTGTTACAGCAAATGGAAGGTTATTTTAATGTGACTCTCCTTTCCCTAAAGGGTTGGTTACTGCTTGCAGCTGCGGTTACTCTGCCTTAGGGTAAACCCCTGTTCCTTAAAAGATGCATGTACACGTACGGTGTTGTGTGGAAAGTGTCAACATTTTGTACTAAGCTTTTCAGGAATTTGTCCAAGAGTACACTGTAGCTCTCTGAGTTACCTTCTGAATATGCTTCATCGTGATCGTGCAGGGCCTCAAGGGTTGCAGCCGCTGTGCCGTACCTATTGGGTGCAAAATGGCTATCGCCATGGGAACTGTTGCTGGGGCCAAAGGTCATTGCAGCTGCTCTGTCTGATGCTTTCTCCACTTTCTGCAAGTTAAATTTCAGAGTAAACGGAATCTATTAATCTAGCGAAAGCAAAACACTGGCACATTGTTTAGACACAGATAACACTATGATAGCAATGAAAGTGCGGTTCTTGAATGTCTCAACTTCTGGGAAATAGTTTGTGTGCATGTAAGATAGAATGAGGGCACTGTGGTATTCTTATGGGATAAAAATATTCCTGTCTATTACGGTAGTTCCCGGTTTATTGACCACTTCCTGCCGGGGGTCCTGGTTTTGGACAAAAGAGCTGGTCTGTGTTAACAAAAGACTGTACTTGGAACAAAGGACCTGCTGCTGGGAATTGCGATCATTTTTCGACTTCCATTTTTTGAAGGTAATCCGGCACTGTTTTGAAACAGTATACCACTGTTTTGGGCATAACGTGCCCTCGGATTAGCACCGCGGACAAAAGGGCTCCAGGGCCCCATTGATGAGCGACACAGCGCCAGAGCTCGCTAATCCAGCTGCGTATGAAAAGATGCTACTGGCATTCACCGGAACAAAGGAAATTATGCAACACCTCACAATTCTGGCTCTCTTTTACAGGGCTGCAGGCCTGGACTGAATACTTGAATGTCAATGAAGGTTGCCTGTCAGAATAGAGTACCCACCAGACAGTTGTTTGTGTGGGTGTAAACATCCAGTAAATGAACACATGAATTTTTGAAGAATTTTGACAACGGAAAATCTTGAAAAGGTCCCGTCATCTCATCCCGCTCAAGAAAAATCCACCCAGTAGGGAGTGGTTAACCTTTTTAGTTAACAACTTTTCAAAAAGCCAGTAAGTTAAAATAACACAACAAAGTAATGTGATGTTGATATTTCATTTCCATCAACCTCTTTGGCGGGTACATTGTATCCAGTCTGCTCAACATTTCTTTCAAGGTCCCGGAACGTCCCCTTACATATGGTCCAGGCCAGGAATTGAACCTCAACCAACATAGGCATAGAGGCGAGCGCTTTCTGTGTTCAACTGCACGTACCTGTGCTGTCCATAATTAGATTGCCTACCTTGATCCATTCTTGAATGTCATCAGCTGCTGGGGCTTGCGTCTTCTTCTGTGTGAAAGTTAACAATCAATACAAACAGAATCTCGTGAGCATTCAACAGAGAAAGGACAGATAAGACTAGTGCGCCAATGTTTCAAGTTATGCTGACATTGTTGCAATTACCAATATTACATCAACTCCTGTATCTTGGGCACCCCATCTGGTGGTTTGGACGAGTTTGGCAGGTGGAATCTGAAGAGTTTCCAGTTGCCAGGATGAGCACAGATCCAGATTAAGTTTTTCCACGGTGTCAACTGGCCCAAGTCCGACAAAGCACTTGCTGAGTACATGTACAAGTACATTCAGTCAGTGCAAACGGCAAGATGGGTGTGATTGGTCAAGCTTTGGGATCGTGTAATTTCTGTATGATCAGCACGATCAGTTGAACTTGCTGTATGATCATCATGATCAGTTCACCTTGCTGTATGATCAGCACGATCAGTTGACCTTGCTGTACAATTTGTTGACATGGTTGATGAGGCTACCTGATTGTGTTATGCCCCAACCGGCCAGCCAAGCTGGACCGGCCAAACTATAGTTACATGTAGCTAACTTCTATAGAAAATTTCTCAGTCATCTCCTACATGTAGTTTATGCAGCTCGGACCTGACAAAATTCATTAAAAAATGCAAGTACAAGTTACCAATAAAAGAAATGAAATTAAGACATGGCATGGCACACACTGGCATTCTATTCTGTAGTTGGGCCAGCCCAACTATGATGGCACTGCAGTTGAAACTGTCCCCCAAATGACCCAAATCTTGGGCCAAACAAAAGCCTTCTTCATCATGGGTTCAGATTCTGGGGAATGAGGAAATATAGGCTTAGCCCCCCCCCCCCCACTTTTTGACTGAGGGAGGAGGGGATTACCAATATTATGGGGTTCATTACCATTAGCACCCTGTTCCTGTAATAAAGAAACAAAGTCCACTTTCTCAAACTAACATTTTGACCTTAAGGAAGCATTCTCGATCCTGATAGGCCTAGTTTAGGTAAATTTTGACAATATTTACATGTAAGCAAGAAAACTTCAAACTTCTAAGCCGAGTTTGGCAAAGACAACCACTCAGTCGAATGACGCTATTTTTGTTTTTCGTCTGGTTACCCGACTCAGGCTTTTTGGATTCATCAAAACAAATCTCCATCCAGGTCAATGAACCAGACTACATTCGCTTATTTGGCGTTCACAGCTCTTTTTGGGCAGTCATGTTGGCTGCCGTTTTACCCAAAAATCTCTCTCAAAACCAAAAGCCTGTTCCTTTTTCTTTCTGATATGAAAGAGAACATCACCAATAACTCCTTTAGATAAGTTATTTTGAAAAAGTAGAATTTTTCCCTTATAATAGGAACGGGGTGCTAAAGGTAATGCACCCCAATATCATCATCCTTCCCCCTCCCCCCACTTTTCAAGTCCCTGATTTTATGTGCACCCCTTTAAGGTTTTGGTTAAAGTGGGACTTTGGGCCACGTGGCATGTCACACTCAGCGCAAGGCTGACCTTTCAGAAATCATCCCCCCCCCCAACATGTGAGATGAAATCTCTGCCATTGTTCTTCAGAAATCAATGTAATAGGCCTACATGTATCAAGATTAATCACTACATGCGAGACCGTAATCCGTGTTGTCACCAGGTCCTTTATTTCGCCACTTACACTATCAACTGACTATTCTGTAAAAACCAATCAAACTTGACAATAGGTGGCGAAATTAGGGACATTGTGATTATACTGTCACGCGCATTAGGCCTACCAGTACTACTACTAGGCCTACCATGACTTCTTCAGTTATTGATCTGTCTGTATTTTCACAGCTAAATTTGATTTTTTAGAACATGTTAGGCCTAGGATTATCACTTTCTGATGGCTAGTAGAAACTGCAAGGGAAAATTAGTGATGTATATGATGGAACTAGTCTTACCGACACACGCATCATGGTTAAATTAATACAGTACGTATATTAGTAGGACGTGTACATACTTTTGCATTCGAATTCGTGCTGCCACCCGGCGTGTCTTTTGTGGACCACCTTTTCCAACGATATAAGTCGGCATTTCTGCTTGCCATCGTTAAAACAAGTTAACATTTACCGCCTTTTCACATCTACATACTAAGTTCATCTCAAAAACAGAAGCATTTCTGTGTGACAGAAGCGGTAATTCCACAATATTCTTTCAACGGTCGCGGTGCTGGCAGGGTGACGGCTTCCCTCGCCATTTTTGTTGACAAGGAATTTATGACGGCTGTTGCATGATGTAATAATTTTTCACGCCCCCATCCCACGTGAACCGATGACCTGCCGATGCCGGGGGAAGTACATGTGAAATGACACAGTCGTAGATGTGAAATAAAGATGGCGACGTCCACGGCCGCGGCACTTTGCCGTTCACATTTTTTGAGGTACGTGCCATGGTGTAGGCTTAGGCCAAGACAAATTTTAGCCTTTGGGGAAAGAGTTTCACATGCGGACATCACTTGACATGCTTGACGCCCTTTACACAAAAGATATGAAACTAGTATAAAAAAAATGTTTTCATAGTAGGCCCCTAGGCCAAGATATTTAACTTTTTTTCTTGTAGGCCTAGGCCTAGTTGTACAAAAGTTGTAGGCCTAGGCCCTACAGCCTACTGTTGTCAGTTGGAGGCCTGGGCCTAAGCCTACTTAACTTGTAAACTGTAAGGTTCTTCTTTCATGTCTTTCATCATGTTTGTGTCTTTCTTCTTCCATTGTTCTAACATCACTTAGTAAGTCATGCACCAATCATAGGAGCCTACTTGAAGACTCAGGTACACTAAAATGAGAAGCAGTTGGAGTTTCAGAGGTGGGAGGAAAACCTCAGAGGATTATTCTGGGTAAAACCCACGGAATCGGTAGGGACTGAAAACCCAATCCATGTGGACCGAGCCGGGAATCGAACCCAGACTGCAGAGGTAGAATGCAGGAAAAAAAAACACTTGGATACACCAACCTGACTCCCCGGGCTACTGCTGTGGGTTCCGTCGTCCGCCGCAATGGCTGCACTCCCATGAACCATCGAGGTAGAAATCCTCCATGCACGAATGCATGAGCACGGCGGACGACGAACCCCACAGTTCTGCAGGGTAGGCCTAACAATGGACGTTGCTGTTGAGTATTGGCTGATATTTTTGAGCGACGTCCGTGTACTTGTAGTACTATTACAAATGACATTTTCTATAAACATTGAAACAGTCATGACAGTAGGCTGACTGGTGAATATTTGTCACATCCATGTTGTAATCAGCTATCACTCAGAAGTAACGTATGATTGTTAAAGAAGGGGGCCTGGGCTTCATGATTTCTGTGATTGAAATAACAATTTTTAATAGAAATTCTTAAATGCTTTACCTACAGTTGTGTGTACCAGTTTACCTCTCAAATGGCCTGGGGTAAATGTGACAATAGAGAAGGCAAGATTTTTGGCCTGCGTGCTAATCTTGACCCGTACATGTATTCAGTATGACCTGAAATATATTCCTACATGTGTAAAATTATTGAAACCAACTTCATTCATGTCATTTTATTAAACACATCTACCTTATCACAATAGTGGAATTTGTGCTCAGGTGCAAATTTCTGCGTAGGCCTATTGTGTCCAACTTCCGAGTATCCCCAACTACATAAAAACCATACATCTGTAAATCATAAATGATCAAAGATCTTCCCAAAGTTTCACCTGACATGCTTGACCAGTTCAGCTTTCCCTGAGAACAATTAACATTTGGTTGCAGACACGTTACCTCTGTGACGTCAAAGTTCTACCGGCAGTCTGTGGCAGCTCTACTCAGCAGAATTAATTTGGCCAGTTCATATTGAGACATGATGTGTCATATTGAGACATGATGTGTCGTATTGAGACATGATGTGTCATATTGAGACGTGATGTGTCATATTGAGACGTGATGTGTCATATTGAGACGTGATGTGTCATATTGAGACATGATGTGTCATATTGAGACATGATGTGTCATATTGAGACTTGATGTGTCATATTGAGACGTGATGTGTCATATTGAGACGTGATGTGTCATATTGAGACGTGATGTGTCATATTGAGACGTGATGTGTCATATTGAGACGTGATGTGTCATATTGAGACATGATGTGTCATGACATGCATTTTACTCACCGCAGCACTAGCAAATTTGTAATATTTTATAAACATGTTCTGATTTGTCATTGCAGAATCTCTTGCCTATGCACCAATGTAGCAAGGAGTTTCTCCACAATGAACGGGCCTCTTTGTTTCAGAGCAACACAGCTATTGTGGTAAGTGTGGCCACTGCGGATCAAGTAGAAGTTACCCTACTTGTCACCAGATCTCTGTCTCCTCTGCCATATCTAACAGTAGCAACAGAATTGAACAGAAGACAATAAGTTTCTTGAAAAATTGATGGAATCCAAATGATACGTCGCATATGAATGTACAGTTGTTGCATAGAACCAGATTCTCAACAAAATGCAATGGGAACCAGTTCATTTGGGTAGGGCTGAGTCAATTCGAGTAATTCACTATTCAAATATCAGACCTTTTATTTGATCGAATATCCGAATATTTGGTCGTACCAACAGGCAGATTGTTGATGAACAAACCATATACAAAATCAGTTGCAATAACATGTTTTGTACATTATGATCAATATGGGAACTGGTTTATTTGTTGGAGGGGAATACTTCTTTAATTAATACATGCTGAATATTGCAGATTTCATGTATGATCAGACTTCAATTCCATCTCAGTAAATTGAGGCCTCCTAAACTTAAACGGTTACTTTGGTGACATTTCTCTGGGCTGGTAGTTGCTCATCAGTCAGAATGGTGATGGGCTGCCACATTTGCAGTGGTTTGGTTTGTGATATTTTTTACTGTCGGTAGCGCGGAGCCGCCAAAGAAGAAGAAGAGAGTTGATCCCAAGCTGGAGATGATGAGGCAGCAGAGGATGCTGAAGAGGATGCGGAAGATCCAGTTCAAGATGGGCGACCCCGAGCTCAAGCCCATCGAGGAGTTCAGGTCGGACAAGAAGCTCCTCCTGGACGAGAGGAGGTGAGGAGGGCGAATCGTGAAACTGTCGTCAGTATGCAGGGTTTCTGCCTAATCCTTCCCCCAGGCAACATTAAAAGCTACCCGTCCGCTCCCAGCAACATTTGCGACACTGACACCCCTTGGTGCCGTCTGAGCCCATGCTGCCATTGTACCCAGTGCTTTGGCTGAAATCTCAAGATTAATTCATCAAGTTTAAAACTTTGTCCAGTATTGGAAGGTTTGTATAGACAGCCTGTCCTCGGTGATTTTGGTCTGTCTTCAGGACAGGTGACTCCAATGCTAGTGTGACCGTTCTCACCGCTCTCATCAGCACAATGACCGTCACTCTCAATGTCATTATTGCTGTTACCGTCCAAACCAAAACACCTTTTTACCTATTACCGCTATATTCTACAAACCTCCCTTGTTCTTTGTTCAAGCATGACCCAAGAGGCCAACAGAGAGGACTGGTGACTGTTGAGGGTGGGAAGTTACGTGTAATTTGAAAAACGTTTAAAAAATTTTCCCCTTATCATTGAAACTTGTAGATAATCCACCCTTACCACAGTGTCGTCAAAAACTGGAAACATAACAAATTGCATGCAATGTAAGTAGTTGACACAAAGTTGCCGTGATAAATTCACGGTATTCTTTCCACATGACCGAGTACTCAGTGTGCTCCGCGTCAAATACGCATATACTTGCGCGCCTATGGGGCAAGTACCAAAAACACGCCCTCTTTCGTTCCGCTCGGAGCGGATTAAGGTGCCAAAGGGGGATTGCCGCTCATTCAAAAAAGTATCATCTCTCCATCAGGCAGTCAGAAATTGCTACATGCAAATGTAGGTATCTTAGATGGCAACGCACTCCTCCATACACTTTTAAGCACGCAAACTGTCGAGGACCGGTTTTCATGTGGAAAAGATTGGCTGGGGAGGGTAGGAAACAAGCTTTGTTCCTTGTATGAGTCTGTCTTCCGTGATGCAGTGATTTAATTTCCTGTAATTCCATCGGTTCTGTGTGGTTTTCATTCGTTATTGCAAAAGGCAAAATTGGAGCAAAAACAAAAGGGATAAGAATCAAATGAAATGTCAGAGACAATTTTGAAAACAGGATGGAAGTTGGGATTCCAGAATCAAGCAGTACTTGCTAGAGAGGCTCCACCAATCTGTCCTTTCCCTGTGCAGGAAGCGAGAGGCCCCAGACCTAACCTACGAAGAGCAGGAGAGACGAGCGCTGCTACAGAAGGATTGGGCCCGGCACAAGTTCCAGGAGCACGTGGCCGAGACCCAACGCATCCGAGACCTCCTCAAGGCGCAGGAGAAGGCGCTGCGAGAGCTCCGGGCTGAGTCGGAGGAGCTCTACCAGCAGGCCGTCCAGGTGGACCAGGGCCTCTTCCCGTTTGAGGTAACGGGGCCGACATACACACCCCCGATCCCTGGCTACGCCAAGACCAGCCCAGACGGGGAGTACGTGGACATTTCCAAGCAGTACAAATGAGTTTAATGTTGGACTGTCTTGTACCCTTGCCTTTTAGCAGGGCTTGATTTCATGGGGCTGGTAAGCTGCAAATGTCCATAGTTTATTTGGTTAACCCTCAATAGTGTGAAGGTCCTATATTTTGATGGTTTGCTTGTCTGAAGGTTTATTTTCTGGTTTGATGGTCCGACAACGCATTAGTCCAAAGATTCACTGGTCTGAAAATAGATTACTGTTTATAAATCCTACAAAGGTTCAGTAGACGGGAATCAACAACAAGCTTGTATTGTCAAAAAATAAAATATTAATGGTTTAAGATGGGTCTGAGCCAAATTCAGACTTTTGAATTGTTGGTGCTGTTCAGATTAATGAGCCTCGGGACTATTTGATGTTGTGTTGGTTTTTGGTCTTTTGAACCTTAGAATTGATAAACTGAACTTTTCTAAATTTTTGCTATCTAACCTTTGGACAAAAAAATCTATAGATTATTGAACCTTTGGACTAAGGAATCTTTTGTCCATTGCACCAGATTTTCTAATGAACTCTGGTTGTAAAAAATTTGTGCAATCCAATTATTGAACCTTTGGACCGATGAACCCTTGAACTGTCTGCCTTGGGCAGAAGCGACCCCAGATCAGTTGAAAAGGTCCATGTTGGTGGGGAGTGTCCATCATATTGGTGTAGGGATCCGATCGTAGCGTATGCTTATCATAGTGGGTTGTGAACCAGCAAAGTGCAGTTCCCACCAAAGGAGGCTCCAGTACTAGGAAAATTGTGTTGTGTATTGGTCCTGCTTTGGGCAGATTGAATCCTTGACCATCAAGCAGATGCTCCTTACATGTATGTATGTGCTAAGCAAACATGAAGGTGGGAACCAGTCCCAAGAAATATGCAGTGCCTGACAATTTGGCTGTTCACCAACTTTTGCCATGTCCACATTACTTGGCTATGGCTTAAAAATTACACACAAGTCCAGGCCAGTGGCTGCAGCCATGCAGATCCAACAGAGTCGTGTGTAATTCAAGCCGCAGCCAAACAATTTGAATGCAGCCTCCCAGCTGACCATTTTGCTTCCATGTAGTAACTATTAAGATGGTTTGGAAGACCTTGCAGGTCAAGAGTGAAGGCCGTGTTGAATATTCAGATATTCAAATTTAAACATTCAAATATTTGCTGTATTGATATCAGTTGTAGGTTAGTTACTTGGTTTCTAATTACTGTTCCCTGTTATTGAGTATTTAGAAATCAAATGATGGTGAATAAAAATAAAGAGAAAATTCCCACTCTTTGGTATCAGAGTTGCATTTCACATTTTTTAATTTGTTGAGAAATTGATCATTTCTCGCAGCAAGCAGTCCATGTGGTTGTTCAGAAAAGTGAGAAGTTATTATGATCATAATTTTAATGTTGATCATTTTTCTTGCTCAGTTGGAACAACCAGTAAATTATTCTGACATCGAATTATTCAATTTGACTGGGCCCAGCTCTGCTTTGGCCCAGCATCCTGCATTACTGCATCCAGCATTTGTTCATGCTGGAGGAGTGCCATGGGAGTATCTCAGAAGATGTTTATCAGATGCTAGTTCTACATGGGCGCACAGACTTTCATATGATCATGGATTGGTCATGTCTGCACCTTTAGCAGTGGCACGGGTGGCTCGTGAGTAAAGTGGTGCTCTCTTCTTGCCACTCAGGTGACTCAGGGTTGATCGCAGCCCGGGCCATTTGCAAGTGCAGTTGTTTGTTGATTCTCTCCTGCGCCAGGAGGTTTTTGCTCCATGCTCTCTGGCTTTCCTCCCTCATCCACGAAACAAAGGAACTCTTTTGATGCCTGGCTATATTCCGTGGATTAACATGGTGTTAAGCAAGGCTGTAAGGGTAAGTAGGACCCCGATAAATAATTTGGAAAAAAAAAGTCGGCTTTCGTAAATACATCAAGGGGTCCGAAGCGTGTTCGCATCAAAAGTGAAATGTTTCTAAGATGTTTTTACCACTTTGTGCTTTATGCTGTCCATTTTCAAGATCATGTTGTACTTTTTGGGTAGCTTCTTTCTTTTTTGGGGGGGGCTATAGAAGTACCACACACACTCACACAGGAAAAGAAAAAGGCTTGAGGGGTCGTTTCTCCTCGGTGCTAAGGACGTCTTGCATGCACTCTGTCACTCAAAATTCGGCTGTTATTCTGAGAATCATTTAAGGCAGTCTTTCCAGAATAATATTCTCTCTCAAAAAAAATACAGAAATATTCTTTATAATTGAATCCACCAAATGAGGTAAGCTCAAGTTACACATTAGCAAAGAAGTATTGAAATCCAGTGAACTCTTTCTACATGTGAATACTTGAACATGTCTTACTATCCATGAAATTAAGCTGTATCTTGTAAGTTGTAAAATGCACAATTCCCATAGAATTGTGGAATTCCCATAGAATTTTTTGGAAAGGGAGACTACAGTTAGTTTTATCTATAACAAAAATTTTTCTTCTTGAGACTCGAGTATCTATGAAAATGTACAAGTACAAAAAATACCACATCATCCATGTTATAAAACACAAACAATATAAATAATCAACAGATTAACAATTGTATACAGTCGAAACAAAACTTTAAATTAGGTAAACAATGGCCAACTGTATTATCACATACTGCAGAGGCGCATCTATCTATTTTATTTTCCTGAGAAAATTGAAGAGCAGATATAACGAAAATCCCACATACAGGTACTTTTTTCATGTTCCATGATTTAATGCATTGAACCTTGCTTTCAGTGGATTTCAGTTCGCTGCTTATCAGAAAATTCCCAAATACAGGTAATTTCAAATTAATTTCTGCAGAGGGACACCCAGGGTGCACCAATGTTTCCAAGGGTGCTGGGAAAGCAGCAGTCATGTGCAGACTTTTTCAATTTGAAAGGGGTGATCTAAGGGGCAGAGACTTCTGTTAGTGGGAGGGGGGAGTTCTGTCACTGGTTTCCGGACAGAGAAGGATATTGAAAAAGATTCCTGGAGATTTAAAGCCAATCATGCATCAGAAAGTGACGTTTGAAATGGTTTTAACCATCAGGTTTTACTGACTTCCTGTCAAGATCTGAAATCACAAAACCACAAATTTTTGTGCTCCAATGCCAAGGGAAACGCTGACCTCCTGAGGACATCAATGGTGTGTCAAGGATTTGCAAAGTTTTAAGTATGGTTGTAAGGTAAATCATCAAATATTGCTATGCTAATATGGAAAATCACAATGCATCAGTAGTTTGAAAGATTTTATGGGAAAAAGAAGGTTTTGAGGACGTGCACACTGAACTTGGTTTTCTAACATCTGTACCGTGTCTTCACTTTTAGTCCATGATTTACAAAGGGAACAACAAAATGAACATAAGACTGAGTATAAGTATCAAGGTGCTAAAATATAGGCGTGGCTTGATGCTTGCACTGGTGACTGTAGTGGGTGGATGCGTAGTCGTTGGGACATCTGACTGAAGTCTGTCTCCGTATGTGTCCAGCAGGGTAAGGATGACGCCGTTGGTCCACCCAAAGCCAGCCTGTTAAAGGGATAAGACAATTTTTTAATATCATAAGCTATATAATGTGAGTTCCAATGCATCATGGGATCGACTGGAATTGTGACTGATGTAAATTATCGGTATGATAGTTGCCGGTGTTTTAAGAACTGCAATAGATTATTTGCAGATTGGATGTGATGGGATGGCTCGCGGTGAGCCCAGATTGGGTTTATTAGACTTACATGGTGGAATCTGGCTGGATCATGACGAGCTTGCTACTTGGCTTGTAAGTTGTATGTAGCTTGAAACGGTTGGCAGCTTGACAATGTAGGCTGCATTTTTCTTTGGTTCAGTGGTTGCAATGAGTTGGTAATTTGGTTACGGTTAATGCTTTAATGAGATAATTTCAGTTTTATTTTATGTGATTCTCCAGGGACCATTTTTCTTTCGCGTGCATGCTCAATATTACGAAATACATTATTGTTGATAGTTACATGATTATTTTGTACATACCTGCACTCCATACTCTCCCCCGTGGCCTGGAACACCCTGATTGGTCACATCATACTGTCAAAAGACAACAAATATTGAATATTCATGAACAGCCTGTTCGTTTTATACGATACCATCATGGTCCGCTAGATCAGTTTCTTCTACTTTATGAGAAATGAAGCTCACCTTTTCGTACATGACTTGATTCTCCTCGTAGGCCCGGTAGTTGGTCAGGGTCCACTTCTGGGCCAGGTCAAAGGCCAACTGCTTGGCCTCCTCCAAGCTACTGTTGGCCAGTGCCTCAATTAGCATGTGCTGGAGAGGAGGCCACGCGTTCGGGTAGTCCCACTGTTGGCCTGTGTTCTGCTTGGAAGTTGGCACGCCCCCTGGATGGTCTAGAACACCCTCTCTCTGAAGATAAGATCAAAAATGAAAATGTAACCTTAAAATATGGGGAGAAGAGGAACAAACCCTCCTAGATACACCGTTAGATAGGATAACAAGACCAAACCAGTGCCAACATTTTTATCCTGGTAATTATCATTCCAGCCCTGTGAATTTCTCCACTGTCGTGAGCTTGTAACGCGCAAAGTTTGTGAAATGTGGATAAACTGTCCTCGGAAAATCCAAGTTTTGGTACTACACGCCGAGAAATGATGATGTGTTTATTTACCATACACGGGTGCAAAATGCTAATGGCCATATTATACAGTGTTTTCTATGACTCCGCTGGAAATCTGTGGCTTTTAATAATATGGCTTTGTCTAGGTAGGCCGACATGTACATGCCAAGATTAAGTACAATGTGTATCTGTAAGACGATAATCTCGAGGGGAAACCTTTAGTTGTGATTAAATATAGTCAAAAGCAAATATTATTGTTGAAAATATTAGTACCTTCAAATAATTGATAACAGCTCTGTCAATCTCCTCTTTTTTGCCCGCGTCTTCCCCGTAACAGCCCACCCACATCGGCACGATGCTCGACAGGTAGAACTTATTGTTGTTGGCGGACGACTTCAGATCGTAATCAAGCCACGCGCCGGTCGCGTCACTCCAGAAGATATCGCGGATCGCAGCTCGTCTTGCCTGGTGGGCGGCGCTGAATTCGGCGGCTTTTGTTGCATTACCTGCATGTTAGCAACATGATCACCAAATTCTCAGGAGATTCTGGTGTTAAGTAATGGAGCCACCGTCATCCATACCGCAGAAAAAGTCAGTTCCTAGTTTGGCATTAGCTGGGGCATTGCTTCTACCGTAAGGGACCTCCTATCGTGCATTAATCAACTGCCAAGATTCAGTGTTATACGTACAGTCTACTAAGAATGGAATGCTGGCAAAACTACCGGTTCTTCAGCGTACAGAAACTGTTGTTGGCTACATAATGCCAATGGTCGTTTGTAATATTAAACAAGTGAATGGGGACGCCATTTTTTTAATTGGCGCGCTATTCATGTATAATGGATGTCACAGGATTGAAGAAAGCTGCCTAAAACTTGTTTTTTTTCGAGTACCGACATTTAAGATGATAGGGCCTATCTAAACTTCAAGTGAGCGAGGAAACTGTCCGCTCCCCCATGTGATTAATTTATGTTTCATGTGACGATATCATCGTCAGGGCGAACCAGGGCGACAGATGGTCCGCTCGACTGACCCTCTGACCAACCCCTACCCCCTCATTACGACCGTCAGCTCGCCTATACCTGCCCTTTCGTAGAAGTCGGCCAGCAGTTTCTCGTTCAGGCACAGGACGCTGTTCAAGTCCACCGGCACTATTTCCTTGGTGCGGATGGAGCGCAGCGTGCCCTGCTCGCCGAACCACCTGCCGGAGAAGTCCCACCCGCTCTCGGCCGCTGACGCCAAGTTGGAATATACCTCCGCTGCTTCAGCTAAAAATAAATTCAATGTCAAGCAAATCCAGTCCTGTTTGAAACCCATTTTAATGCATTTCCTTTCTGTTTCGAAAGAGAACTGATCTATAACCTCAGATTTATAAGTAATCATAATGATTTTTCTCATAAGTTAATGGCGAACGGTTGTGGAGGTAGGCCTGCGCGCTTCATGTTTATACAAACCTATTTATAGCTTTAAAGAGGACCTGTTTTGCTTTTGCGCCAAATTAAATGAAACACATGAACATGTGTATCAAAGTCTTACATAACAGACATTGGCTGTCGTCATTGATAATGCCAATACGGACTCATGAGTCAGCTTTCTCGTTACCTTCAGGAAGTCCAGATGCAGTTTCCACGTCTTCTCTATACGACTCTGGTCTGTTCAAGGGAGAAACAAAGAAATCAAGTAATAAACCACCCCAGTTACAGCTCAGATTCAGGCCAGATTTTTTTCCAGGAGAATTGCCATTGTGTAGTTCTCGCACTTTGCATTTTTGTCTTCCAAAAAAACTCGGTCTTGCATTCAAAGTTGCACACAAATCCGAGTTGACTTTTTCTATTTGCTCTACGTTTGTCAGTTTTCTGTAGTGCATTTTGCCGCACCAACGGAAAATTCCAGTTGACTTGATGGAATTTCACTGGACGAGTAATGTTTCGCTTCTAAATATGTTCAAGTGAAAACTAGATTATGTTTAAATGGTAAACACATTTTTCCAAGTGGATCTTTGGTTGTATCTTTAACAGCCCACCTGGGTTTTCCCATGAAGACGTTGTATCGATTCAGCGTGTGCGTAGTGGAGCTGCCGGGCCTGGTGACATCCACGGACCGGTTGGCCATCCAGAACTCGTACTCCCTCTGTAGGGACGGGAGGATGGATTGCACGAAGGGGAAGTCCCCGGTCGCCTTGAGGTACTCGCTGACAGAGGGAATGAGGAACGGAGGCTGGCTTCGGCGCTCGTAGTAAACCCGATTCCCATTGGGAACAAAACCCAGCCTTGGGTAAAACAGAGTGAAACAAACCTCTGAATGATGTACTCGGACTTTTTTCTCGTGTAGGCTTGTTACTGTTTTCAAGCCGTCAAAAGACAACTCAATCAAGCTCACAGATGAAACACACATGAAAAACTGGGATCCAAGTCTGGAGAAGCACTCTAAATCGCTCCGCTACCGTAATGTAAGAAGCATTCTCAACAACGTGAGGGACTTTTTGTAAATTCTAAGCAAACCCAAGAGGCCTTGTAATTTAATTAGTATATTTAATTAGTACTCGGAAGTCAGAAAATGATGGATTACAGGAGGTATTGTTTGATATGTATCTGAAACTTTGATGAATTGGGCAGTGCTCAAAGCTAACTGCCTTGGAATTAAACTTAGCATTAAGGAATGTGTTATGTGTTGATTAAGTCTAAAAACCCTTCAGCCAGAAAAGCATATAAAGTGCCCAAATTATTCCAGTCAGCAAAGTTCATTGCGATAATGCCACAACGCATTGGAGAAAGCACATACATGTACTTACTTGTCAACTATGGAGGCGAAGTTCAACAACATCCCCTTTACCGTGTTCGTCATCTCGGAAAGGAGCAAGCCCTTTATAATCCAGTACGAATCCCTACAGAAAAATATTGCTCGCATAATTATGTAACCCTATCGTGGCATCTTCAAGTCGAACGGTGCCGCTTTTCAAATTTTCAAAACCAACTTTCGCTCCTTACATGTCTTTTAACAATAACAGATCTCTGTCTCTAATGATTGAAATGCTCGAAATAACATTCCACTGCGGAAAAAAAACATGGGTAGGTATAAAAAAATATTATTTAACCAATAAAATACACTGACGAGATCCGACTCATGAGCTTTACTTTCAGGCTGATGGTTCTTGTTATACACTAGCGGCTATTTAAGAATGGTTTACCAGTAGTAAAATTCCCTGAAGCGTCCTCCCGGAACGACAAACGGATTGTCCACGGACATGAGGGAGTAACGTTGAGCGTTGTTCTTCACGTCGTCTGTGATCTGGTACAGTCAATATACGTGAGTTGAATTGTCATCGACTTGTCAATTTCCAGGAGCATGATTAGGCCTACTCCATGGATGCATTCTGCTTAAACGTTAAGCCGCATTTAAGACCCATTTCCATACACCGGTAGGCCCTTTTCCATTCGGTCAAAGTTCAAGATTAACAATATCATATTACATGCTCCCTTCTTTTCCCCTTGTTTCCCTTCTCTCTTCAGGAGAGGGGTTACCTTGGAAAAAGAAATCAGTAAAGTGTATTTCAACATTTCCCTCAGTAGAGCGACTGTACGTCTTGTACCCAGCAAAATACGGGACGGAATGGTACCCCCCCCCACACACACACACATATGTCCAAACTACCAAACACATCTCCTAAAACTGAGATTCTGTTCCACAGTGCCAACAAAGGGGGATCTCTCCGTTTCCTCTTGCTTCAAATGGGCGTATCATGAGCTCTCTCCTTGTCGAGTTGAAAAAGAACCTAAATATTTAAATAATTCAGGAAGTGTTTGATTTCAAGTACGCTTCAGTTTCAAACTCACCTTTCTGCCAAGGTCTTTCCAAAGGTCATTCAGATCAGAGGCCCAGGCACGAAGCTTTGTGTCGCGGATGTTACTGAACATCGAGGGGCTAGTTAGTGTGAATAAAGATAAGATTCAGTCAAAACGTTCGAGCGCGGAATTTACGGCAGTTTGAGAGACCCACCAATATGGAATTATGTGATCCTTGCAAGAATGTAAAGTGAGGATTTAACATCTATAAAAAGAGAAGCGACGGACGGAAAGAAGAACATTTGAAGATCGATCTTAATTTTAAGATTGAAAGATCGGATAAAGCGTTTACAGATTGAGTGAAATTATACAGTTTCTTTAAAGGATGGACAAGCAGCAGACATGTAATTTCACATGATTTTTTAACCTTGGTTTCCAATCGGTGGGCGTCCAGGAGGTGAACTCCGTGGCTGGCCCATCGAAGTTTGCCTCCACAAACCTCTTGACGGCATCTCCGTCTGTCTTGTCAGTCAGGTTTCCAAAAGCAGACAGAACCTTGTCTGAGAGTGTAAAAAAAGGGGAAAAAAATTATACCAAAAAGGGGGGGAGAGAGAAATTTGAAAAGAGGAACCGACTAAGTTTCTAAATAAAACAAGACGTGTTTATATAATTTGTTAATATTACCGTGCTTAAAAGTAGAAAAACAGCTCGTTGTATGATTTCACCAATGTAGGAATCAATGCTGTTCCTATTTACTGACGCCAAATTTTAGACATAATCTCCAATACTGGTCGATTGTGCTATGCACATCACGTTCGATAACTGCATGAGGCTTCAAAGCGCATGCCATGCCATAAGCGTGTAAGGCTGTATCATGTAATATAATCAGCGCAACCAGGCTAACGAGTGCAAATACGGAAAATAAACGTAGAAGTGCTCTCCAAAACATTTGTATCTGATACCTGCATCAAAATAATATATTATGCTAATCAGTTTGGCTTATCGATGTCGGTAAATCACGTCAGTGGAAGCTAGGGCTCGGTATTGCCAAGTTAAAAGCAAAAGGTTTGAAGTGTTAAAGCAAATCAAACTTAAGAAAAACTTCATTAAAAAATAAATAATATTTGCCAACACACCAAAAGAAGACACTTTGCCTACTATGAGACCATATTAAAGTCATGCAGGGCCCATTAAAGAAAGGTGGATCATTGTTTTATCGTACCTGGGTCGTGCAACATGTTGAGGTCAACAAATGTCTTGGAGTCGTTGTACACGTGAGCATCTTGTACCGCCTGTAGCACGGGCCCATCGCAGTAGATTTCACTGTGGGGGGGGGGCAAGAAGGAAGGAGCTGATCTGACAATGAAATGGAAAATTGCTTCAGCCATTCCAGGCCCTAAGGCCACGACTTGAACTAAGGACTCTGGTCTCTGTAGCGCAAGTTATTTGAGTTAAGTCGAAAAGTCACTCTGACTCAAAGAAAGCAACTGCGAAATAAAGCTTCAAATTGTAGCATTATGAATATTTGAGCACAGGTAGTTATCAACTTTTATATTTGCAACGGATAATTGTAAAAAGGAGACTTTGTCCGATTTTTGGCGCCGAGGAGTTGTTAGTTTTTAAATTACGGGTTTTGCTTTTTCACCGACTAATATTCAACACCACTTTGTGATCAGTGTTGCTCGGGACCTCTCGAAAAAACATCACAAGATTGTTCAAAAGTTCAAAAGTATATTGTTTAATAACCTATTGGGTCATTGCTATCAGAAAATAAATAGTCTTTCTGATAACAGTGTGTAGTTGGTGAGTATACTTGACACTAACAAACTCATAATGAGGTCACTCGTGCACATAGAGGCCTTGCACATCGGGAAAAACACTGCAAAAATCCAGTGTTGTAAAAGAACCATTCCAACACTTTTCACCGGTGTTATTTTTTTTCAAATTGTTTCAAAGTGTCTGAGTTACTTTTACATTTCAAAATGTTGGTGTTACTTTTAGCTTCCTCCAGTGCATTGTAACACGTGTAGGTGTATGAAGTAACACCTGCGGTGTGAGACATTTTGGTGTGGTCATCCGATAACATCAAAAAGCGTTTTTTTTTAACTCCAGAGTAGGACCCTCATCTGGTCACTCACAAACTTACGGTACATAGAGATGCGAACTGGTGGCCTTTTTATGCTTTATAACACACGCCTGTGTTCAGCAATGAAAGGGAACCCTTTTTATTTTACCTTGACTCAGTTTTGAGTTAACTTTTCACAATTCTCATCACGAGAGACGTTATAACCGCTCAAATGTTTACGCACGCAAAATGTCTTGGCACTCGTCCAATTTCACTCAAGCTGACTAGGTATATCGGAAAATCCCATGTGACAGCAGGAAGAGTCATGTTATCAATATGGATATTTTAGGCCTACATGTTATGCGCGGAGTCCATAATAAATGACCATACTTTCAAATTTGAAGCACGTTATGACAATAGCAGAACAATTTGTTATTTTAAACATCTCCATGAATAATTATGTCGGTCGGCTACAGACTCATATACGGCGCAGACAGAAAACTCTAGGTTGAAATGTCACTGCAGGATACACAACTATGGGCCGTAACGCTTTCCCGACAGTATCAGACATCATCGTATGCAGCAATTAACTGAGGATGGACTTTCGGCCCAGCTGGCCGCAACCAAAACTAAAATGGTGTCTACGGCTAACCACCTACATTCAGCACAGCAAATTAGTGGCAAAATCCAAAGTCAAAGTCGGCAAAATGTCCTACTCGTCATGTATCTAAAAATGAACCTCACATGCTCAAAGTGAGGAACTTAACTTGTATGTGGTCATACTGAGAACTTCAATCTTGATAAGCAAGCTAAGATAATGGAACAAGTCTGGGGAGACTGAATATTACAAGTGTCGCAGAAGCATATTATTAAGCGAGCCTGCCGGAATACACTTCCTCGAATTTGCAATACACACCCCAAGTCAGTGCCTCATGTGCACGACAATGTTACTGCCCAATGTCCCGCCCTGAACCTCACAGTGCAGCATAAAGCCAACCAGAGACAAACCTGTCGCACGCTCCCACGTCCTTCAGTGCCTGGTCAGCACCAACAGTCGAGCTCGCCAATAGGCAGAAGGCAAACAACACAGTTAATTCAATCCAGCGACTCAATGTCATGGCCAACATGTTACGGACATTAGAAAATGTAGGCAAATGCAGGCTTGCTCGATATTCAGTGTGCCGCACTTTCAATATTAACCACAAGTGAAGGACATATCACGGCCAACCGCCCTATCTTTCTAACTCATACGTTTTATTACTCTGAATCACACAGCCGTATCTTTGAACTCCGATCTTTAAACAGATGGATAAGGAAATAAGTTGCGTAAACATAAAAGAACGTTGTGACTATTGGACAGCCAATTCACAATTTTCAGTACCCGCCAAAGGACAAAATAAAAAACTAGCTGATCCCTAGCAGGACAGGATCACTCAAACCATAAATACTTTACCAGCCACTTTTTTGGTGAGATACAACTACATAGAATCGTTGGAGATGATGTTTTATCATAAACACGTGCAATCAATGCGTGTTTGAGATGAATAACGAAAGGATGGAATATCAGCATACACATTGACACGGAAGCGTAGGACATGGATAGCCCGTGTCATCGAAGTTCCAAGCATTTCCTTACAGGTTACACCACACGAATTAAAGACGCTCTCGGTGATAATGTATTTGTGGCATTTATATTCCTTGGTCGTAATCTCTGTGCGTACGTGTAGGCCTATACGCCCCCCCAACAAGGAATGGTGAACGCCACTGCAGTTAAGAGCTGGCAAGGTTCCAGGAGGATGTACTGAGATTTGTGATCACTCTACAGAAATAGACTGGTTCCCGTCCCGCATGTAGTTTCCTGACGCCTTACAGACGTCCGCTGAACGGAGGCACCGGTAGCGGGAAATGGAACCGGAGGCATCCAGCCGGTTGTATGTAAATGAGGAAATAATCCGTGCTCAATTTACAAGTCAAGCAGGAGCTGATAGAATGTTTTGCCTTTTCTTCTTCGCTCCCAAAACAACTTCACCGTATATTATTTCTTAATCTAAAGTTTAACAAAATAAAATTGATTTGAAATACAAACTGCAGTAAAATAATTTATCGATGATATTCACTGAAAAATAAATTCCCACACTGTGACCAACAGAGAATTAACAAGGACTTGTGCTTGTGTTTAACGCTGATACGGAAATCATGCTTAAGCATTGCTATTGGCTTGACAAAAAATATTTCAAATTGACAGTGCTAATCGCAAAGCTTAAACTGCAGCTAGCTATAATGGTCCCTATTTAAAAGGAACGAAAATGAACCAGTCCATCTACAGAAAGCCGTCGCATGCACTTCGTGGTTTGGAGTTGCAAGTCGGTATTATAGTAAATTCGCTGACACTATTTGTGGTCAGTGACTCAACTACCGGGGACGAGGGAAGCCCCCCCCCTGTGTATGCCCGTGCCCCGGCTGCCCCCCCCCTTGGAAAACTGTGAATAACATCCGTCGTAAAGCCGCTCCAGCTTATTTTCTTGTTGTGCCCCTTTGAAAAAAATCGTAATCCGTAATATGCGCTATATAAGAACTGGCTATTTTTATTATTATTAATTTGCATTTTTCCCTGGTGCTATGAAATGGCAGTAGGCCTATTAATCATAATGATCATGGCATCACACATGTACATGTACATGTATTCCTTGGTCTTCAACCCACCCCCATGAGGTGCAATCAAACCAAGGGTCAAAACCAGACCTGGGTGAGTACAGCTGTGCATTCCGCGTGTCTCACTACAGCAAATCGTGGAATCGAACGTACCGCGAGTGATCACACAGCACCATCCCGCGCTTCTGATTCTGCAAGGGGATCAACGGCCCGTTTATCTTTGCTGTACTGCCTAACAGTGGACCTCACTCAAGAATAACCCCTTTAAGAATATCGTCGATGTTCTCACGAAGTGACAGCCCCCATTGTGCAAAAGAGACGTCCCAGAAAAACTTGTTTTAAAATATGATTTATTTCGTCCCACCTTTTCGACCACTTTTGTTTTATGGAAGGGGGAAATTTTTGCATAGTCATGGAGAGTACGGTTTGAAAAATACCTATCCAAATGAATTTGTTGTTTTGATTAAACTTTAATTAATTAATGAAAGTCTTTTTACACTTTGTAAGACTGTAAAAACCACTTTTTCCCCTATTGCATCATACACATTTATTGTCACTTTGAGATTATCCGCCACGAATCAAACTTATCACCACACGCCCAGGTGTTCATGCTCAACATCGTTCGCACGCATGCAAACACGCATCTTGGCTCGGCCAGAGCTGTTTTACTCTCTATTTTTGCCCTGGCACCGAGGTTTCATCAGTTTGTGAGACCAAAAACACCTAGAGACCGAACTTTTGTCAAATTTCTGTTTACGATAATTAAGAAAGTAAGTAAGACTGCGCCAACCCGTTCCTTGCATCAAAACGAATGCACCTACTAAATGGCCACCAAAACTCCAGATCGGAAAATATCGACTTTTCAGGTTTTCGTCACTTCTTACCGTAACATCATCGACGATAGGGAGTGTTGAATAGGAACAATGGCTAACGATAATTATGGCATATAACAAACCTGACTGTCACACAAAATCAAAGTTCAAAATGATAGCCACATTGTATTTATTAGCATTAAAATTTCAGCATGGAAGTTCAATAATTTCCGCATATTCTGTGCTAAGATAGAGAAAATATCTGTGAATTCTTTACATCAGTGCAGCAAAAATAACTATACAGTAAATTCGATTTTGCAGCTAAACATTCACAAGATTCACGAGATATAAAATCCAGTGACTGCGTGCTCTACCACTGAGTGAACGAAACCTGTTTCAAAAGATAATAGCTACCCCCGATTCAGCCTGGTGATGTTCGAGAGTCGCATCGACCAACAGAATTTGAATGGTTTGGACTAAATACACATGCCAATTCACACAAACGCACAGGACATCGAAACAGTCAATACTTAGTATTGTAGTAACACTGAACCACAGAGATGGAACGTTGCGGTACAGGAGCTATATACGTATGGTTGCATATATATCTCGGTACAGACCTCTTACTAATGAATTCATAATTATGCACGCAAGCGCAAGAATGGCCTTGGCGACAAGAAGTGTGAGCGGGCCCTCACGTAGTTATAACTTTCAAATGAAAACTTAACCTTAACAGTCCCAGATCCTCCGATTATGATTTTACATACACCCTAGGGGGTAAGGGATCGGTGCCAATCAGAACGAAGTAGCTCCAAAATACCCACTCACATCTCGCAAAACTCGTTTAAACAAGTGAGTCCAGACAGAACACTCGAATTTTCATAACATAAAATGTCAGCTGGCGGTATTTCTATAACTTACGTTGTATAAAAGAGGACTTTCTTGGCTTGATGATGATTTTATCTTTTTCTTTTGGCGATGCCGATAATAGTGAATTTTAACTTAGGTCTGATGAGTTACTTATACAGTTAGAACGTGTCGTGCTTTCTCTTCACTTTGTATGAAAGCCCCGAAGGTCCATTCGTGTTTCAGCGTTGGCTATTGAAATTATGGAACGACGGACAACTTTGATATTTTACTTTGAAGACGCGTGTGTTCACTTTAAAATTACATGTACCTTGCCGCTGAGATAAATGAGAAATTGGGAATTCTACAGATAAAGGCTGCTCTTTCCTGAACATATTATCATGAAATGGATCTGAGTATTTCTGCCAGAATCTGCGGTGAGAAAAAAACCTGCCTGCTGATCATCAACTGCTAACTGGTTTTGTTTTCCCACAAATCTATCACGTTAATATATTGCCTATAAACCCTCATAGGCCTATATGATCAGTACTTTTTAACCTACTATACAAAAAATACGGTACAAAAGAATTCATGTTTGGTAGAGTCAAGTTTTTAAACAACATCCGCAACATGCGAAGGTCACTTTCCCAACAACGGCAACAAGTGACAAGTATGTTATTTCAAAAACACAAGATCTGCCAAATACATGTACCAAATGCCGATCGATACATTCCGGCAAAATCTCCCACCAAAAGGTCCCCAAACCATATGAGAGAAAAATCTGATTATACACCAACATTCCAATTGTACCTGTTACCTCTCTCACGAATTCTGCAAAGTATGTCAGATGACGTCATCCTTCCTGGTACACGCATTTAGATTTGTATGAATAGGGCCTACATTTAGTTTTCATGACCGCGATGGAGACGCGTTGCGGTCAAAGTATCAAAGCTTCGTTTTCTTTTCACTTCTCGAGAGGACAGTGCCTGCAAATTACGGAAAATAATTAAACCCAAAGTTACATGCTCTCATTTGACATTCTCGCGTAAACCTTGACCGAGAAACAGTCAGCTACAGCAAGCTCACCCTGCGCGGTCAGTGCGATGCCGTTAGGGTCGTACAAATCCTGGGCCACGCACCCAAGGAATTCGCCAGTGGAGCTGTACTTATGGATGTGGCCGATGTTCGATTCCTTCCCATGTACGACTACGTAAAAGCTCCCATCCTTGCCGTAGCAAACCCCTCGGCAGGACACTTGGTCCCCGCTCGCTATCACCGGTCTCACCGTGAATATCGATTTGCTTTCGCCGGAGATCTCCTCCACTTCCCCCGTGTCCAGTCCGCTCAGAAGCAGCCTCCCCTCCGGGCCCACGTCCAGGAAGTACGGAGGCACATTCGTTGGGATGGTGTGCAGCAGTCTACCGTCAGTGGGCCGATGCTCGGTGACAACGCGCCGCTCGACGTCCCCGACCAAGAGAGTCCCGTCCTCTCTGACCGCGACGCTGACAATGTTGACCGGTGTCTGGGCATCGATATCCATCGGAGTCGTCACAAACTGAAAGGCCTGGGATCGTCGAGCATCGTAGACTTTGACATTGCAGGTGTTGTCTGCAACTACAAGGCAGTTGTTGACTGAAGCTACATCCCTTGGTGCTGAAATCAATAATCGCAGAAGAAATTTGTTGGTACAGTATAACATTTCGGAAAATGAAGTGACATTACATCGATGCAGTGATAGTGTCATGAATAAACACGCTAGAAATCTCGAGGAAAATTAGATAACGAACAACACAGGAGGTTCGGAAGATCTATTTAAAACCTCATGGAATGGGAGGTAGTCGGCGGTACTTACTATCTGCAAATTTGATAAAGGTCTCGTAAGTCCAATCAGACGCGAAGACAGTGATGCCTCTGGTCCATAAGCCCATATCGGCCACAGCTATTCCCCCGTCAGGACAGACTGTCACTCCTCTAGCGCCGTCAAAGTCCTCCTTGTCAGTGCCACGCTTCCCCACTTTCTTTGTCATTTTCCACCTCTCGACGTCGACGACCAATGTCCCGAGATCCACCACCGTCGGCTCTGTGGCCGACAGCAATCTCATAAAAAAGCCTTGGGATGATGGGTGTGTTGCTGGACGATCTCTGAGCTCCTTCAAATCGTCCCGGATGATCGGGTAGAGAGACAGCAGGTCCTCGTCCGTTGCGCTGGACGCCAGGTGTTCTGAGACAGTCAGGGAGTGCCGCAGTTTATCCCTGACCACCGTCAGACCCTTGGTTAGCTCCTGCACTGCCTTAACCCGCTCCGTCTCAGTCGAGTTGATCTCATCCAGGATGCGTTGCTTGGCATCCATTACCAAAGCTACGGCGGCCAGCGCGCGCTCGGTCACCTCCTGCCTGCTTCTCTCAGCTGCCGAGACTACCACCCCCTTCGTGGTGTTGGCGGCCTGCAGTGCATCCTCCACGCCAGCGCGCAGTTCCTCAACGCGTGGGAAGAGTCCACGGAGAGACTCTCGACACGAGACGGCGGCCACGTCGATCTCCTGGAACTCATGCTCACGGTGCGTCTTGGTAGTGCAGACGCGGCAGACTAACTCCTGACATGTCTCGCAGTAGAACCAGGTCCTCTCCCCGTCGTGTTTCCTACACTCGCAGACACTGCGATGAGGCACTGAGGTCTGGCTCTGCTCGCCAACAGCAGGTGAGGACCTGCCGCTAGCCAGGATCTTCTCCTGCTTCTGGAAAGCCTCCACCATCCCCCTCAGGGGGAAGTTGGTCTTCAGTCCGGCGACGCCATCCTCTAGGATCACCGTCTCCTGCCTGCAGACTGGACAGCTGAGCTTGACTGGGCCCTGGGAGGGTTGATACCTGAGCAAGCATTCCTCGCAGAAGCTATGCAGACAGTTGAGTATCTTGGGCTGCTTGTAGCGATCGTGACAAATGGAGCAGTTTAGATACTCCTCGCCGAATCTATCCAAGAGAGAGATGGGATCGTCCTCCCCCTCGGCCATCTCTCCGATCCCCCAAAACGACTCTCAAACAACACCCACACAATACGGCCCACTGTCTCTGAGGATGATTCGAACTTGCCGACCCAAGTAGAAAAGACCAGGGAAGTCTTTAAAAAGCAGAACAAAACAGAAGAAAACTGTTTATTTCACGTTTGTGTTTTAAACTTCATCCTTAAATACGCGTACCTAAGCAAGTTAAGCCATTCCTATTGGTCGAAAGCGCATCACATGGCCGGTCTCATAATACGATTAATGAAGCACCAGGTCGCGGAAACACATACCGCAACACAACTGCGAGGTGTGTGAAAAATGAAGTAACATTGTTAATTAAACAATGATTATGTCAAACCTTTGCGGCACTCTTGCGAGTTGTCTCTTGTGGCTGATTAACAAACGATGACACTGCAATGCGTGTAATTCTGTGTAGAAAGCCGGTAGTTTTGGGCTTCTACACCAGAACCAAGTTTTCCCACTCCATTGGGTCTACGTGCTGCTGATAGCGTAATGAGGGTCCAAAAATTAACTGATTATGGACCTAAATGCATGGGCCTAACGTACGTGTATTTAGAAAAAAAATTCAGGTCAAATCTACAATCCGGGTTCAAAGGCAAGCTCGGTTTACTTTTTGGATATGGGTAGGGATATAACAAAGAACGATTATTTTTGTACGCCAACTTCAATCAAAGTTAATAGGCACATAAATGGAATCTCCATGTACGTCAAGCCACGTTCCACGTATACTCTCAGTCTTACCAAGCACATAAATTTATTTCCCGCGAGCAGAAACTGGACTGCTTGAAATACGTACTTGCAATTATTTGGCTTTCCATTTGCCAAACATAGACCCTTCACTGTAATAGTTATTCAAATCAACTTCACGGATATGTACATGTACTGGGTGTAAAGCAGAAATACCAACCGACATCTTGCTAACTTTCACATGCTAAATTTACATTTTTTTGAGTCGCCAATACCTGTGCAAATAAATATTATCGTGTCTGGATCGTCAAACTAAAAACAATGCCGATAACACATTCTGAAAATAAAAACAGGTGCTAACAATTAAACGATATTAGTCCATGAAAATCAACAACACCAGACAAGAATTACCTGAAGTCGCGTCCCAGAACGATATTGGAGGCACGGCAGAAACAAAAACGAAGGTTTTCTTGAGAAAGACATTCAAAGTCGATCTTCAGAACTGTCCCACAGAACCAAAATCCAAGCTTACTTTCGAAAGAGTAGACCAGTGCTTCAGAAATAATTCACTGGCAAGCGAATATTGCTCATTGCGAGGACAGAAATTCGAAACCATCGAGTGACTATGTGCACAATATGACATTCTGACATTTACATAATCTGTTTCCTTGCCAATGTTGATCCAAAAAATTCAATATCACGCAAACAAACTATTTGACAGTCCTCAGTGTCAAAACAACTGACCGTTTGCCTGTCGGTGTGATTTCCATCTAAACAATGACAAACCGGTAGGATGACACTATTGCATGTCGTATTGCAATATCACAACAAAACCAAAATGACACATTGAAATCATCTGTGATTAATATGTAACACAATCGCTTTCCATATCAAGAAAAAAAGACTGACATGGCTGCTCAAAAAAAAGATATTTACTTCAAGGGCTTTTCACAGCCCCCCCCCCAAAAAAAAAACCAAGGATAAAATGTTAACAACATTCGCAAGCATTCATCGACAGGTAAAATGTGTCAGCAAACCTTTATGCTCACAGCTACAACTGACAGCGTACGCTGTATATACGGCTGACTCGAATATTCCAATATTCGAATAATAAATCACTCGCAGCGGAATTAGCCTCCGACGGCAAAAAATGGCCTGGGGCGGTGTTCGTATTGGCTGTACGCGCAAGGCTTTACGCACTTTGAGCAACGACCAGCCATCCCGAAACTGACTGGTCATTAAACCTGTTTCCAGTTAATTAGCTGCCAAATATTTCACATTAAAAGTAATAGCTCGTTCGCAAGGAAGCGACTTCATACTAGCCCGTGAAACCTGGTGCGCTACTTTTTTTCAGTAGCTGGGGTGACGAATGATTCATGAAGAGGGGACAATGCAATACACCATTTAAGACATTTCAAAAACGGGAATCCATTACGTCG